ATCCCACTCCTTATGGAACCTTAACTGTTCTGGAAAACCGTCCCTATTCCTTGAAGATTTCCGTTTTCGAGTGCCTCTAACGGCTGCTGTTGCCTTCTAGAGAGGACAGTTTAACTGACACACTTCTCTTCGATCATAACCCTCCAGATGAAGCACCAACCGGGAGACTCACTCATGTCGGCAACTGCGGTCTTCCCGGAGGATTACCTTAGGATGAGACTAACTGATTATGTGTTGGAATATTGGTAGCTCGGGTGTATTGGTTGGTAATTGATCAGGTGACTGTTGATCTGTTCGCCGATCTGTTCGCCATATATCAAAAACATTTCGGAGATGACCGCCAGGATACTACGACAGCATGCCATAATAGTGGCCCACAGACCGACTGACACGCTGCGAAGAGTACTATCAAAACCAAAGGGGATACTCAATACGATGGAAAAGACAAATGTAATCTACAAAATTCAATGCAACAGTTGTGAAAAACACTACGTGGGACAAACAGGGAGGAAACTGTCAACCAGAATCACCGAACACAAACTCGCCACCAGGAGACATGACCAACTCTCTCTCATCTCTGCACGCGAAGATGGGGAAGGCCTCCAGATGAAGCACTAACCGGGAGACTCACTCGTGTCGGCAACTGCGGTCTTCCCGGAGGATTACCTTAGGATGAGATTAACTGATTAGCAGTAATACCAGCCATGATCCAACGACGCAGTCACTGACGCTTGCATTCAGACGATTGTCACCAAACTCTAACCACCCCGATTCTCTCTCCCTGAGGAAGACGAAACGATTGGACGTCAGTTATTCGTTCAGGTCATGGGATTCAACACATGGCCGTCTCCTCTACAGTTTCACTGTTTTGGACGAAATTATGAAGAAAGCTATTTTCGGCCGGAGCTTTATAAGCTTACTCCACAATTAAGCTTGAAAGTAGTCTAGTAAACCATGCAGTTGCAATACACAGAAAGTGCTGAGGTCAGAAGATAGAATGAAGCAACATGAGATACATCTGTGGAGTCCTCAAAGTCACACTAACCCAATGGCACTATCCATACTCCAAACTTTGTAAGTTTGGAGTAGATCACTAGGACCAAGTGTACCAGACTCATTACACACAAAGCCGTTTTCTACGATTCACCGACGCATAATCTGATGGCCTAAAAAGGACAACTACCACCAAACTGCTGTGTTCAGCAGAATGACAACAGTCGCAAACCATGCCTGTTACCCTCATTCTGGAGTGCGATTATTATATATGTGAAATTTACATACCCTTTCACACGTACGGAACAAAATCATCAGTCTGACCGCATTCCTTAGTTGTTTATGTTGAGCGGTCAGTATTGGTCAATCATATAGATGGCGAGTGAGAGGCCTCTTGAGGAAAATGAGTTTCTTGCTCGCTTGTCAGTTATTGAACCACTTGAATCTCAC